TGAGCCTGGACAGCCTTGCTGGGTGTGGCACAGCCTACTCAGAGGATCTGCTCACTGTGTCATTAGTGTTCTCCTGCCCCAAGAGTCCTTCACAGTGTTGGCCCAGAGCGTAGGGCTCCCTCCTCAGTGGGACACGTGACAGCTGGCTCAGACTCCACATTGTTGGGAAGGAGGATGAATTCTTGCTGAGCTCCTACAACAGGCTTCTGCACGCGGCTGCTGCTCCTTCAAGATTAGCTTATTTATAAACTGTGTGTAAAGAGGTTGGAACAGGGCTTGGCCTGAGGGGAGGGCTGTATAAATGCTTGTTGTTTCTATCACGATTGTTGATCTTTTTAATCAGTCAACAGATTTCCCTGTATGTCCTCATGCCAGGAGAGGCATGGAGGACCAGGGAAAACAGAAGTTCCCTGCCCTCAAGGAGCTTTGAGCCCAGAGAGAAAGCAGACCATTAAGTCAAATGCAGAAAGAGGTGGAGAGAGTGTGGGGGCAAAGAGGAAGGCTCCAGGTGGCCCAGGGATGAGGAGACAATAATAGTACAGTGCGCCATCCTGAGGGTCCACGCCTGCGTGAAGAGCCTTGTCTGCACAGGTCAGTTCTTGGAGAATGTGGCCCTGGAGCTACATCTTTGATGACAGGGCCTGGTGAATTAGGGAAGTGAGAGAGGGAGGGAGAGAGATGAGGTGTTCCGGTAGCAGCCCAGAGCTGAGCGGGGGGAGCCAGCATGGCATGGGCAATCACAGTGGCACAATACAGCTGTCCCCCTGCCATGGTTTTCTTTCCACAGCCTCAAGTGCCCAAGATCAACTGTGATCCAAAAATACTAAAGGAAGAATTCTAGAATAAAGCAGTTTATAAGTTTTAAATTGTTTGTGCTTTTCTGAGTAGTGTGATAAAATATGCTGTCCAGATCAGGCTGTGAATCATGCCTCTGTCCAGTGTATCTATATAGCTTACCCTCCCGTTAGTCACTATGTTATCAGATCAACAGTAACAGTATCACAGTGTAGCTCTTATTTGGTAGCCTAAAGCTACATTGCAATGCCTGCCACTCACTTCATCTCATCAGGTGGCTCATGCATACCACACATGAAGAAGTATAAGCCAGGAACAGTGGTGTGTGCCTGGAATCCCAATGACTGAAGAGGCTGAGGCAGGAAGATTGACAGCTTGAGGCACTCCTGAGTAACTTATCAAGACCATTCTCAAAAGTAAAAAAAAAAATAAAAAAGGTCAGGGAATGTAGCTCAGTGATAAAGTACCCCAGGTTCAATCCCCTGTATTGAAGAAGAAGAGGAGAGGGGAGGAGAATATGGAGGAGAAGAGGAAATACAGAAGAAGAAGATATTCTCAGAGAGAAGGAGATGGCACTCCCATGACTTTTATGACAGTATATCGTGTTATTAGGAGGGCTCTCTTGTACTCTTATTCACTATTGTTAATCTTTCCTGGAATGAACAGCTGCATCACCTGCAGCATTAATGCAAACTCCCGAACATGGAGTCACCCCTAGGGGGAGTAAGAGGGTAGCTGGGGCAAGTTGTTCTTCCTCCTGAGCCAGGAGCCAACTCTAACAAGGAGGGGACACAGCCCAGAGGTTTCCAGAGGACCCGTCACCTCTGCCACACAGACATTACAAGAGCCTGAGAGCTGCGTTTACTTCTGAGACAGACATGGACAAGCTGGACCAGCTCTGTGGCATAAGGGTGAAAGAGCTAGTGACATGCATTTATTAAGCACCTACTGTGTACTGGCTGAGTAGCAAGCTTGGGAGGGAGGAGTAGAAAGCAGAGAATGTATCAGACACTGATCCCAGAAGCTCAGTCCCCTCCTGGTGGTCCCTGGTGCTGGGGAAGGATTTGTTCTCTGAAGCCCAGAGACACTCATTGCAGCTCTGCTGAGCTTCTAGGTGACCCCGGCAAGTTCCTTGCCTTTAAACAACAGGACTTATTTTCTCACAGTTCTGGAAGCCAGAAGTCTGATACCAAGGCACGAGCAAAGCCACACTCCTCCAGGGGTCCCCAGGGAAGGAGCCCCTACCTCTTCCAGCCCCTGGCAACTCCAGGTGTCCTTGGCTGGTGGCTGTATCACTCTGGACTCTGCACAGAGTTATCTCCTCAGTGTCCCAAACCCCACTCCCCTGGTCTTTTAATACATCAATCATTTTGTTTAGAGCCCAACCTAAATCCAGGGTCCTTTGTTTTTCCCTAAGATATTTAACTTAATTACATCTGAAAAGACTCTATTCCAGATATAGTCCCATTCACAGGTACCGGGCATTGGGGCTTGGACATATCTTTTCAGGGTGCTGCCTCCAAACACACCCCCTTGTGCCTCAGCTTCCTCATCTGAAGATGGAGCTCATGTGGCCCCCATCTCCCTGGCATCTGGGAGGGTAGGTAGACGTGTGCACTGACCCCCAACACAGCACCTGCCGCCACTCACCCATCTGTGAAAGGCTGCTGTCCGGGACACGGCTTGTGCCCATCATTCCAGCTCTAAACCTGGACCTGGCCCTCGAGGTTAAGCACTATGACTCTAGGCCACCAAAGCGGTCATTTTGATGGCATAAGAGTTATGACGTAGGTGTAGTTTCTGTTCAATCATCAGCCCCAAGCGCTGCGGGAGGAGGGGGTTTGTCACTTGATTGGTCATGACAGCTGGGAGGATCAGTCACCTGCAGTTTCTACCCTGAATTCCTCAGGGCTGTCCTGCTCAGAGCTGTCCTGCTGTCCAGCAGCTGTCCAGATGTGGGGATGCGTAGACTCCTCCTCTCCCAGAGCCCTCGGGATAGAGGGAAGGGGGACAGGCGTGTGGCTTGTGGTTCAGGGTGTGCTCAAGCTCAGCTTCTGGCTAGGTCCTGGGATCCAGGTGGGACGTGGGCGAACACAGCCTGGGCCCAGCACATGCTGAGAAACCAGTAGATATGTTCTCTCAGATGCTTCGGGAACAGGTCAGCTTGTTGAGTTTGGAGTCAGGCTGAACTGGGGGTCACAGGAAGGGACCCACAAAAAGATGCTGAAAATGCAAACCCTCAGGGTCCAGAGGAGGCTGAGGAGGACGGGGTTCAGGACAGACCCAGTTTCTGGTCTGGGTGACTGTGCAGGTGGTGGGGCGGCTAAGGAAGAGCAGAGCAGCCGCTCAACCCCCATTCATGATGCCTGCTGTTTACAGAGCACCCTGGGCCGGGCATCCTGCTGAGCGGCGGGCTTGTGTTAGCCTAGTTAATCCTCCCCACAGTCAATGAATAAACCACTGCTATTAAGGCACATTTTATAGACGGAGGCCAAGGGAGTTCAGGTAGCTTGTTGAACCCTGCTCCAGCCAGCCGCCTGTCTGCCTGTTTCCCACAGGCCTTTGTCGAGATCAAATAACCTAAGGGGACATTTCCTCAAGCTCCGGATTTCCCCATTCTCCCTCCAGGCCCAGAGCATGTTTTAAACTGAAAGATCCTAGGCGTGAGCCTGATTCAACAGGGACACAGCGGAGAGCAGAGCACTTGCCAGCTCTGTGCAGCTGGCTCAGGGTCCCTCTTGGAATCTGTCTGTGTAGGGTGGCAGACGCTGGCGCATCCTGGATGCTGTTGGAGAAGGGAAAGGAGCACCACATGAAATGGGAAGAAAATAGAGAGTCTCGACAGGGCCTCTGGTCAGACCGTCTAGGGGTGCTGGGTGCATGGTCTCTGCTCAGCAAAGACTTGAAGAATGGGACACAGAGATGGCAAGCCAGCCGCAGGGTCATTGCAAAAGCCACAGACAGACTTGTCTGAAGAGAAGGGGCCCCAGAGCTGGATTCTGGTGGGGAGGGTCGGCCTGTTATTTTCAAGGTCTGGAATTTCCTCCTCCCCTTATCTGCTCCCCTGTTGTGTGCTCCTCCTAGTGTTGATGGGGGGGGGGCCCTCTGTCATGTGTCTGTTTAGTTATTTTATTGGATCCCCCGCTTAGGAGCACAAGGAAGGGAGCGTCTGTCTGATTGTGTCTTGTGTCCACAAGTGCTTCTGTCAAGCAGGAAGTTGACCTCATCAGAAGTCCTCTCCGCGCTCCTTTAACGTGGCCCTGCCCCCACCTCCTCCCCGCCATCGTGCCGGGGCTGCCCAGGCCCTTCTGCACCTCCCCACCAGCCGCCCTGTTCTTTCTCACCTGCCCCCATGCTGAGTGCCAGCCTGGAAATGAAGTCCAGATGGCTTCAAGCACAACCCGTGTGGCTCCCTGGGACAGACTTTGTCTTCTCTGGAAACTGAAACATGGAACTATGGGCAGGAACTCCCAGGACAGCCGCCGTGCCCTGAAGGATAGGGGCCCACCTCAGTGGTCCCTCTTCCCATCCCTCACTGTGTTTTCTATTGTGAAATTCATAGAACACAGAATTGACCACCTTCAAGTGGACGTTCAGTGGCATGCAGTCGGCCCCAGTGCTGTGCAGCATCATCTCCATCTAGTTCCCAATAGGATCACACCCAGAGGGAACCCAGAACCCTAAGGCGGCTGCTTCCACCCCCTCCCCTCCCCAGCCCTTGGCACCCCGCCGTCTGCCTTCCGGTGCACTCCCCTGTTCTGGGTGCTTCGTATCAGATCCCACCTGTGTCCAGAGAGCACTGCTCCTGAGGCAGCTCCAGGCACAAAGAGCTCCAAGCCTCCCGGGGGACACCTGGCCAGGGAGCTGGGCAGGAGGCTCAGCTTTTCCCTCCTCGCTGCGGGTCTCGCCCGCCCTATTTATCAACCCCCCCCACACACTGCACCCACCTACGGTGGCCACATGAACCGCCCTTCCAGCAGGGGCCTCTAGGGCTCCTGTTTGCCTTCTGCCCAGATGGCCACTCTTTCCTGGGATGCTGCACCTTGCCCTGGAGCCTGCTCCTGGCTGACCGAGGGCGGGAACTGCCATGAGAGAGGATCCTGGCTGCACCTCCCGAGAAGCTGGGTTCTTTCCCCGCGTCCCCTCCAGGGTCGGGGTCACCCACTGTAACGTGCAACGTGTTCTCTTTGTCTTGTCTTTGGCAGCCCCCGAAGTCTTCCAGGTGTACGTGGACGGAGGCCCCGGGTACTCGTACCCTGTCGACTGGTGGTCCCTGGGCGTCACGGCCTACGAGCTGCTGCGGGGCTGGGTGAGATGCGTGGGGACAGGAGGGACCATGGAGCGGGACTGAGGTTCTCATGTGGGCTGGGTGGATCGTGGGCTTCTGTCCCCACAGCTGTGTGTCACCGGAGGGCCCTGAGCATGAGAAGGGCCCTCTGTGGGCTCCTGGTCCAGCCCTGCCTTCTGCTGCCGGTTAACACCAGGTCAGAAGCCCTGCGGCTTCCAGCTCCCCTCTGAACGCACCCGAAATCCCTGAGCCTGGTTTCCTGGCTCCATCAAGGCCCTTTAAGGGTAGAGACTGTGCTGTAGAGCTGGGCTGGGGCGATCGGTAAACATTTTGATTTTAGTTCATCTGCATTTAATAGCTGAGATGAGTAATAGAGCGACTTGACAACCAACTAATCACCCATATTTTATTTTTTTGTTTTTTATTTTTTATTCTAATTTGTTATATATGACAGCAGAATGAATTATAGTTCATATTACACACATAGAGCACAATTTTTCCTATCTGGTTGTCTACAAAGTATGTTCACACCATTCGTGTCTTCATACGTGTACTTAGGGTAGTAAATGTCCATCTCATTCCACCGTCTTTCCTACCCCTTCCCCCTCCCTCTCCCTCCCTCCCCTTTGCCCTATCTAGAGTCCCTCCATTCCTCCCATGCTCCCCCGAAATCGCCATTATGAGTCAAGATCCTCACATCAAAGAAAACATTCAGCCTTTGATTTTTTGGGATTGGCTTGCTTCACTTACCATTATCTTCTCTAACTCCATCCATTTACCTGCAAATGCCATGATTTTATTCTCTTTTAATGCTGAGTAATATTCCACTGTGTATATATACCAAAATTCCCCTATCCATTCATCCACTGAAGGGCATCTGGGTTGGTACCATAATTTAGCTATTGTGAACTGTGCTGCTATAAACATTGATGTGGCTGTGTCCCTGTAGTATGCTGTTTTTAAATCTTTTGGGTATAAACCAAGGAGAGGGACAGCTGGGTCAAATGATAGTTCCATTCCCAGCTTTCCAAGGAATCTCCATACTGCTTTCCATATTGGCTGCACCAATTTGCAGTCCCACCAGCAATGTATGAGTGTACCTTTTTCCCCACATCCTTGCCAACATTTATTGTTGTGTTCTTAATAGCTGCCATTCTGACTGGCATGAGCTAAAATCTTAGTTTTGATTTGCATTTCTCTAATTACTAGAGATGCTGGACATTTTTTCATATATTTACTGATTGTTTATAAATCATCTTCTAAGGAGTGTTCAGGACCTTGGCCCATTTATTGATTGGGTATTTGTGGGGTTTTTGGTGTTTAGCTTTTTGCGTTCTTTAAATACCCTAGAGATTAGTGCTGTATCTGATGTGCAGGTGGTAAAAATTTGCTCCCAAGATGTAGGCTCTCTATTCACATCACTGATTGTTTCTTTTGCTGAGAAGAAACTTTTTAGTTTGAATCCATCCCATTTATTGATTCTTCATTTTAATTCTTGGGCTATAGGAGTCTGATTAAGGAAGTTGGGGCCTAATCCCACATGATGGAGATTGGGGCCTACTGTTTCTTCTAATAGGTGCAGGGTCTCTGGTTTAATTCCTAGTCCTCGATCCACTTTGAGTTGAGTTTTGTACATGAACTAATCACCCATATTTCCATTCATGAAGAAAGCATTATGAATAAGACTACTTTCAAGGCCTGTCTTCCCAGAACAAGTATTGTTTGAAAATAAGGCCACCTCACCCCTCAGGACCACAGTTTTCTCCACTGTATGGAGGGGACACCAACCTTCAGTCCTCTCTGGAGCAGCGGTCAGAGGGTCTGTGCACTGCTCGTGGGAGACCGGGCCTGGGTCTTACTGGAGCTCAGAGCTCCTGCCACCGGTTGCAGCCGTGACCTGCTCTCACAGCTGTGTGCAGCCTGTTGGCAGAAGGTGCCCCGGGGGCCAGGCAGGGTCATTCATGGTGGGGGTCCCCACAGGCAGTGGTAATGGTGTGAATGAATGATGGGTGCCGTCTGTGGGCCGTGAGCATTCCAAGAGGACAAATGTTAGTCATCATCCTCTAGTTCAGGCCACTATTTTCTGCTCTTGATCTCAGTTATTTTCCCTAAATTCCTCAAAAACAAGATTATAGTTGGCGGTGCTTTTAGAATGCAAAAAAAAAAAAAAAAGAAAGAAAGAAATGTGAATTTCCTCATTTTCTCCAGCACTGAATAAAGAATGAACAGCCCACAATCTTACTTGCTTCTGGTTGCGTCATTTGGTTCTGTGGATAGACGTGCTCAGAGGAGGACGTGAGGCTCCCGACACTGTGGACCAGAGCCCGCTGGCATCTGCCAGCGGTTGCTAGTCATACATCACCCACCACACAAGGGACCTTGGCCAGAGCTGCCCTCGCTGGCTGGACGCCCACCAGCAGAAAGGACCAGAACAGTCAAAGATGAGGCTTGGCGAGAAGCCCCAGGGATGGAGGGAATCTTGCTGCTTCAAAATAATGGCTTCATTTTTCATTCTCCTGGGAGTTCTGCTAGGAGATCCAGATGTCAGTTTCAACAGAAGAGGACGAAGCACATGGTCAGCCCGGGGCCTTGGGCATGGGCACAGGGTGACTGAATGAAAGGACACCTGCTATGGACAGTGCAAACCTTGGTCCCAGATACTTATGACTGGATCAAACTTCTCCCCGGAAGGCAATGGGCCTATGCAAAGGGCTACTCTGCACTCACTCTGGAACAATTGCTGCAGTCAAAAGCTCCACTGAGAAGCCCTCGCATTTGCTGGTGCCAAGTGTGAATCTAAAGTTCCCCACGCTCTTTGCAATTCCCCAGTGGCAGTGTCCCTGACCCACCCAGGAACGTCTTGCCTCTAGAAGATGAAAAAGTCAGAGGGAATTTCCCTGCCCGTGATCTAGGATTTCAGAGCTGGAATGCTCTGGAAATGTCGGGTGGGAAAGGGGTGCCATTGATATGGACTGTCGGCCATGGGGCCTGGGAGTGCTACGGTCCTGCCCAGGAAACAGCCCTGTCTCCCACGAGGAGCCAGGGAACGGGCAGGGTGTGAGGCTCAGGTGAGCACAGGTGGGGCTTACAGACTGCGCAGGAGGCAGGGGCAGGATCCAGCTTCCTAGAGCCAAAGGGGAGTCTCAGTTCCTTTCCCCACAGGCCTGCGGAGCAAGGGAAAGCCCCAGCCAGGCCACCTGGAGAGCAGGCTCCCCGTCACCCTGGGTCACCAACCAGCCCTCTAATGCAACCAGCGTAGGGAGAGATGTCAGGAGATGTGGGGACGCATACAGGACACCAGTGGCCATTCACAAAGAATTCAGTGGCAACTGGCTGTCAGGGAGCACTTCTGTCCCTCAGGGAGCACTTCTGACCCTCAGGGTGCTTCACCAACCCGCGCCTCCTCTCCCGCATGGTGTTCTCTCCAGGGGCAGCTGGCTGGACAAGTGTCCTCTCCACAGTGCCCTCAGTCCTGCGCCCGTCCCCACTCAGAGGGGGCATTTGTATGTCAGGTGCAGAAGCAGTGACGTCATCAGCATAGGCCAGCGCAGTTTGCTGGCCTGACCAGCATCCCAAGGAGCAGCTGTCTTGTCATACACAGGAAAGTCGATTTCTAGAGATGGCACTAGCATGCCCTCGTCCCTGTGTGCATGAGAAAGCAGGGTGTGTCTAGACATTGTTCTCATTGTTCCCTTAACTTGGCTAGTTTGGGGGAACAGGAGGGGCATTCAGAGACGTGGTGTTTCACTGCCCCATTTTCTTTGGGGGTGATATTCTGTGGTGCCAGGTCTTCCTTTTTGCCTGCCCACTGACCACCTCCCTCACCTGTGTTCCCTTTGCCTTTGACCTTAGCGCTTATCCTGGGGACTCCTAGGGGACAGGCAGATGGAGAAACTGGGCATGAGCAGAGGCCAGTGACTAGAGGAGACTCTGGAGCTCCCCCTAGAGGTTGGGGTGCAGAACTGAGAACCACCAGGCGCACACCTGGTGGGCGGCTCCACCTGAGGGAGGGTCGAGGTGGCCCTTGGGTTGGGCACTGACTGTCCCTTACTTAGTAAGGCTCACAGCTACTTTCCCTGAACCAGGAGTCCGGGAGGCAAAGGCCCCTGCCCTCCTTCCACAGGAGAGTAGGGCTTCTGGAATCCTTCAGGGACTTCCCGCTGTGTTTCCTGGGCTCCAGGACCCAGCAGAGGTGGCCGGACGGCTCCAGGGGGAAAGCATGCTTCAGGCTTTGGAGATTTAAGGTGCCTGACCAACTCTTTTTGTTCTGTAGTGGAATTCTGGGGCAAGGGCATTCAATTAGATGGTCTCCAAAGCCCAGCTCGGCTCTAGCAGGTAAAATAATAGGTCTCTGGCAATTCTCTTCCTCTTTATTCCCTCTTTGTCTTCTAAATTGACATTTTTTTTTTTTTTTGTAAACTGAGTTTCTTGGAATAGAGACACCTGCACTCCATAATGAGTAGATCCAGTGTCCTGCTGCTAAAATCGCTTTACCAGCAGTGCACGCAATTACTTTACTGTATAAATACCAACTGGCTTTCTGGGTCAACGTGTCCTCAGGCCAGTGAGTGAGAACTAAGCATCAATAGAATCCTTCTCCAGCAGACAGAATATTGATCTGAGGATTTCCCAGTATTCTTGTCAGAGGACCTGGTTCCCTACACCCACTCAGACAGACGCGGGCCAAACCTCAGCCTAAAGTCTTGGCTGTCTCCGTCGCAGGCCTCTGTGCTTCTGAAAGCGCTGACACGTTGGCCTGGAGGTGTGCTGTGGTCCTGCTCGTCATGGTTGGGATCCGTCTGGTTCCCTCTAGAAGTGGAGGGAATTGCAGGGTGACAGAGAGAGCAGCTCCCTCGGAGGTCGATGGGACAGCAGGATTGAGGAGTGCCTGGAGCAGGCCAGAAGGAAACAGGGATGACGTGGCAACCACAAGAGGCTTCTCATTTGTTTCGGGGGGTTCTCTCCCTGGGTGCTTGGATTTGCAGCTGGGGGTCGGGGCGCTACAGGTACAGCAGGAAGAGGGAATCATCTGAGCACTGGGAAGCTCTTTCCCTCTCGGAACCTCAGTCCTCAAAATGGAGTTGGAGGTGAGACTACGTGGTCTCCAGTGTCCTCGTGCTCTCAGAAGCTGGGTTCCCAGGGTGGGCTGGCACAGGGTGGGTGATGGTTTATTGAGAAGGAAAAGGTGAGAAGTGACCCTGAGCAGCCCGGAAGCCCAGCTCCGAGCCCTTGGCCCATGTCCAGGTGGTGGTCCCGAGCTCTACCCTTTCACCCCACTGGACTTAGAAGCACCCCCTGCCCCTGCACTCACAGGAGCCCCCAGGTTCCTCGCAGCTCTCCGTCCACACCAGATGGCTCTGCTGCCTGTCTGTCGTGCACCAGCACCGTCACCACCCCACTACCCACCCCAGCAGTCCCAGCAGGATGGGCCCGTCAGCGCACAGCACAGGAGGGAGGGAGAGTCAGACCCTCCGTCAGAACTCGCTGGAGGAGGGTGGGAGTCTCACTTGCTTTTGTGGCTGCAGAACAAAGATGCACAGCCTAGGGCTTAGGCAACAGGCCTTCCTCACCTCACAGCTTTGGAGGCTGGACGTCCAAGGCCAAGGTGCTGGCAGGGCCGGCTCCTCCTGCAGGCCGTGAGGGCAGGGTGTGTTCCGGGCCTTTCTCCTGGGCTTGTGGACGGCTGTCTCCTCCCTCTTCTTTTCCCTGTGTGCCCCTCTCTCGGGGCCCAGTTACCCTTCTTATAAGGGCACTAGTGGTATGGGTCCACTCTAATGCCCCCATGTCAACTTGATCTTCACACAAAGTTGTACTCTGAGGTCTTGGAGGCTCGAACTTCAAACCGTGAGATTTCTTTGGGGGGGGGCGAGTAACAATTCCACCTAGAACAGTAGTGTTTGTGGCCATGCCTCAGTGGGTCACCTACCTGGGCTTTAAGCTCACTGCCCAGCTCTGGGAAGTGGAGCCCCTGATTTGTGTTCTGTAAAATGGCCACACTCATGGTCACTAACTCAGGAGGATACAGAGTGTTGGTCGCACGAACAAAGCTACCTTCTCTGTCACCCTGCAATTCCCTCCACTTCTAGAGGGAACCAGACCGATCCCAACCATGATGAGCACCCTCAGTTGAGGTGACTTTTGCTCTTTCTGATCTGGTCATCATTGCTGATGAAGGACACCCCGTCCTGCAAGTGCAGCAGCAGGCGGCCCCTGCAGATGGGAACAGGCCACTGAAAGCAAAGACATATTTGAAGAAGGTTAGTGTGTCGAGTTCACCAGCCGTCAAGAGAGCCCACGGGTTTGGGTTTGCTCTGCGTGTTATGGAACAGAATGGACAGCTCCCGGTCAACCACCTGCCCTGTGGAATTGAAGCCCTGGCGGCCGGAGCAGGTGACTGTGTGCCCTCAGATCCCAGGTGCTGCCTGGCTCATGGCCAGTGGCCCCTCACCTCCTGCGGATGGCCTGATGCAGCACCCTCGCCCTCTTGCTCCAGGACCCTGCTCAATGGCAGACATGACTCAGGGCTCCAAGAACAGGGAAGACCATAATAGACGCCCCCCACTTCAAGGCGCCCTCAGCTTCCTGGAGGAGATAGCAGTCATTTTACCACCAATAGGAATGCAGCAATTCCACCCTAGACATGCAGGTCCACGTGGATTAATTAGAACTCACTCTGCAAAACGTCTCCAGGACCAACTTGGTCCTGCACCAGCCTTTGCTTCTCTAGCCCTGAGTCACTCACAGTGCAGACCTGGAACCAGGTGGACCACAAAGCCACGGGGAGGGCAAAGGGGCTCTGCGAGAGCCGTCCTTCAGGGCAGGGAGGGGACTCATGCTCCGGCAGCTGCGTCTCCATGGTCTTGGCCGAGAAAGGCTTCCCAAGCTAAGCCAGACGCTGCTGGTGGCCCAGCTTGGAAAGCAGGTGGCATCGTGGTACACCTCGCACAGAGAGCAGAGCTTGTACATCCTCACACGGGAGAGGATGGCAGGTCACTGTCAGGTGGAAGAAGTCCGGCCTCCTCCACCCCTAAGCCAACCCGACCCAAAGAATGACCGTTTCCCACTCAACCAGGACATAAAGCTGGTGACTGAGGTCCACCAGTGGGTGGGAGCTGTGACTGGAGGTGTCCCTGGGTGCCAGATGGGTGGTAGGAGTCCACACAGGAGCCCATGACTAGAGCAGGCACTATGGCCAGGCTGCCAGGTGTGAGTTCTGCACCTGACACTTATGGGCTAGGTGACCTCAGAGAGTCACTAACCTACTGTAGCCACAACAGCACCACCCACCTGCTGGGTTCCAACACTGCCCCCTGGGCCTGGTTGTGGTCAGCACATGTCCAGCCCACCTGCCCCACCATGAAAGATGAACACCCACCATTTCCTGAAAGAGAGAATAAGCCATCTTCTAACTACGCAATCTGAGCCCACGGGTGCTGCCTTCCAGGGCTCTCGTCTGACCTGGCTGTTGTCCTTTGGTTTCAGAGGCCATATGAGATCCACTCGGCCACACCCATTGATGAGATCCTCAGCATGTTCAAGGTGGAGCGTGTCCACTACTCCTCCACGTGGTGCAAGGGCATGGTGGCCCTGCTCAAGAAGGTAAGGGAGGGCAGCCCTACCTGCCGTCATCTAGGGCAGACACAGGTGTGCCCGCAAGTGGAGGAGTGCAGACACCATGGCAGGACCACAGAGTCGACACTCAGCTGGGCTCTGATACCCAGGCACGAGCCACACCATGAGGACACCAGATTACAAAGCCACAGACGGTAGAGCCCATGATAGAAAGCCACAGGCTCCTTTCACTCTTCTACAAACTCCTGATAAATACAAATGCTTGATGCATCTGGCTCTTAGCCCACGGAGCTGTTAGCAACTGGGCATCTCCTGACTTGGGGCAGGGACTGCTGCTGTAGAGGAAGAGGCTGTCCACTGGTGCAAGGCCTGGCCCAGCACCACCTACCATCTGGGGGCTTGTGAGAAATGCACACCTTCTGGCTCTACCCCAGAGCTCCCGCGGGGTCCCAGCTGACTGTCTTGACCCACTCCCCATGGCTCTGAGGCCGGCTCCAGTTTGGCACAGTCAGGAGACCTGGGTTCCCTCCTTGTGAGAATAAGCCATCTTCTAACTACGCAACCTGAGCCCACGGGAGCTGCCGTCCAGGGCTCTCACTCTGACTGTCAACTCCGTGGTCCTGCCATGGCATCTCAAGTCCTGTGCGTGGTCGGCACAGCCACGAGAAGCACAGCAGTGTGGGCTGAGGGCCTGGGTTGAGGGCCACGGCTCCCGTTTCATCCCTACAACCCCTGTGGTCAGGGCTGGCTGCTGTCCCCCTACCAGAGGGAGGAAAGGCGAGGGAGGCTCAGGAGAGCACAACTGTTCAGTGGACGCCATGGGGCTGCTAAAGGCAGAGGGAGGGAGGTCTAGAGCCCGAGTCCTCCTCGCTCCTGCCTCAGTCCTGGGGCAGCCGTCTGGCCTGTGAATTTCCAATCAGTTAATGGTATCTTAAAGGCAACCCGCCACCTGGTCCCAGTGCCAGTGGTTCCCAACCCTCACTGATCACCAGAAGCATCCAGAAGTCCCCCGCACGCCAGAACCCGCCCTCCCTACCCACCCACCGAGGCAGAATCTCTGGCCCCGGGTGCTTCCACTGGCATGTTCTAGAACAGCTGCTCTAGACGGTGGACTCCGGAGAGCACTGAGATGGAGCCTGCTTAAACCTCTACCCATCCTCTGGGGACAGCCCCTAAACAGAGCCACTGTGACCTGGGACACTTCTGCAATGACAGGTGACAAATGGCAGTGAACTGGTGGTGTGGGGAGGGGTCCGACTTCTGGCTCCCACCTGCAGACAGTTCCCCAGACACATACCAGGTCCTGGCCAACCATGGGGTCTCACCCTGACCTTCGGCTGGCATGGAGGGACTGACGTGGAGGGTCTGCCACGTTCTCCTGCTTTGACGAGAAAACAGGTGCAGGGCATCAGCACCTCACTGAGGCCACCTGGCCCTTCAGTGGCATCCCAGGGATAGGGCCCTGCTCTTTTACCTCTAGCCCTGTGCCCCGTGTACCTGTGACCCAGAGCACTTGGAAAGCCCCACCTGGAGCTGAGGGGGAGCCTCTGAGCGTGTCGAGCTGCCTCTCCCTTACTAGCAGAAAGTCCATCTGAAGAGAAGCTAGAAACAGTCCCCTTGGCTGTACACAGGGCCACCCCCCTGGGTCACCTCGTAGGTATCCAGGGAGAAATGCACCTTCCTTTACCAGGTTGAAGTCCTAGGTCAAGGCTGGTGCCCTCCTTGTCTCTGACGGCAAGTCTGCAGGCGTCCGGGAGAGGAGGCCTGTGGGCACTTAGTCCCAGAAAGGAGTGTGGAGGCTGGGAATCTGGGCCTGCCCCATAGCCCCCGGCGCACAGCCCCCAGCCCACGGCCTGCAGAAGCTGCCTGGCCTGGCTGTCCTCCCTGGCTATGGGAGGGGCGTGTAGCTGGTGCTGCCACTGCAGTCCAGACAGGGCAGGACACTGATGGGCATGACAAGCCGGAGACCTCGTGCTTGATGGTCCCCAGGTGACACCCCCACCCTCTGAGTCCTTGCTCGCCTCTATGGACACACAGTTCAAGGAAGCACATTTGCCCCCTGACCACAGCTCCTGACCAAGGACCCCGAGAGCCGCCTGTCCAGCCTCAGTGACGTTCAGAGCGCACCCTACCTGGCTGACATGAACTGGGACGCAGTGTTCGAGAAGGCGCTGACACCCGGCTTTGTACCCAACGTGAGTGGGGGTCCCGTTGACGTCACACTTCCCCTCAGAGGTCCCCACTGTGGCACTAAGCATGACCCCTGCAGCTGGCCAGTGAGCCCTCTGCTGGCCACGGCCACTGGAGCACCAATGGGCTCACGTTTTGCTGGGATTCAGGGTGGACTTGAGCCTGGAGTTCAAGGTCTGCTGAGCCCCTTTCCTCACATACCACAGGGGTGCAGGCAGGCACTGGGGGAGCGGCCGGGCTGCTGTCCTTCCTGCGTGGACTGTCTCGTACAGGACGAGAGACGGGCCTGCCCGCCAGTGAGCCTGCAAAACCCGCCAAGGCCAGGAGGGGAGAGGTGCAGGGGAGGCCAGGAGGCGGGGACGCTTGGCAGAGAGCTGAATGAAAGAGGAGCCAGGCACGCGAGGGTCCTGAGACTCCCGGGCAGCGGGGCCACCAGGATGACGCACCTGGAGGTGGCAGAAAGCCCAGGTTTCAAAGAGCAGTTCAAAGATTTTATAGCTGCAGCAGAATAAAACCACAGGGAAAGTGACCGGAAGTGAACTGAGGGGACGTCAGCCTTGCCGGGGGTGCCAGCCGTGCGGGGAGGTTTGCCCCTAATGTCTCCCATTCGATCCCTAGCACTGCAAAATAGCAAGACGACGACGATGATGATGATAGGGTAATGATAATGCGTAATGTTTCTCCAAATCAGTTTCCCCGAGTCCAGGGCTTCCAGTTCCCCTTGCACAAATGTGTTGCGACGTAGGCTCAGGTTTCAGAAGTCGGCTCCTCCATGGCCTGCCCAGCGTTCCAGAGGAAGCCTCTAGGACAAAGCCCGCCTGGGCCTCTGCCTTCTCACAACAAGCAGGTGTCCCGTCCCTGCCTTGCACAACTGCTTGTCCTTAAGCAAGCCAGCCCTTCCCCAGGCCCCAGGGCAGCCTGAGGGCTCCCTGGCTCCCCGCCCCTCAGCTGGGCTAGGACAGGCTAACACGGAGTGGTTTGCAGGTCCTGCCCCACTGATCTTCCTGGGAAAGTTCAGGTGTTGCTTGGCTCACTCTGTGTCTGCGTCTGTGTGAACGTGTCTGAGTGTGTGTGTGTGTGTGAGTGTGTCTGCATGTGATGTGACAACGTCTGTGCTTCCAGAGGCGATGGCCCACTGGTCAGTGAGAACAGCTTCCATTTTCCACCACGTCCCACTGGCCAGTCAGAACCAGGTACCAAGTGCTGTTGTCACCTGCTCTGAATCCCCAGCACCTGCACTAGCCTGTCCTGTGCTGGACACCAGGTGGGCACCTCAGTACGGCACAGTCAGGCTCAGCCTGGGCCAACTCTGTGGGGCTGCCCTGGGGGACGCTCAGCAGCTTCCCTGCTTCTACCTACCAGATGACAGGGGCAGCCGCTACTGTGACGGCCAAGTGTCTCCAGCACCACCAAGTACCCCTGGGGACAAAACTGGCCCTGTTGACATCGGGGGTCCTGGCACACTGGCTACACAGGTTTGGCTGGCTTTGCCATCTCTGTGACCGGGTGCTCTACAGCCTTCTCCTGTCTGTCACGGGGACCCCTCCTGGAGCCTGGGCCAGTAAAGCCACAAGGCTGCTGCAGGGTCACATGGGGTTGGCAGAGCAAGCCCTCAGGAAAGACCCGCAGCGCTGTTGCTGGGTGACCCCGAGACCCCTGGAGGCCACCTCAGCTCCCTCGCTGGCTTCCTTCAGGGATGTGTCCTGGGAACTCCACAGAAACTCGCTGGCACCTCCCAGGGCCTCTGACCTGCCACTCAGCCACGTTGCTGAAGCCCGAGTGCCAAGGCAGCCCTGCATGGCCAGCCCTGTCGACCAGCTAATTGTTCCCCTGGCCACGTCCAAAACCCTGGGGATGTGTACTGGGAAGCCCTGAGGGTGCTTGGGGACAATGTGTGGCATTGCCACATCTGGCAGATAAGCCTGTTGTGGGAAGGGACCTGCCTCTGCCACCCTCACCTGCCACTGCTCTAGTTCCTCCCGACACATTCTCACATATATTCACACACACACTCACACCCACGCACACTCACACTCTAACACACTTACTCTCATGCACAGGAACACACACGCTCATACACACCCACTCATACACACGCTCACACATACTCACATGCACTCATGCTCACACACTCTTGCACGCTCACCCACACACTTCATGCAGTCACATACACATGAATTCACACCCATGCATACTCACACACACTTGGACACACTTGCATGCAGTCACACACATTCTCTTACACAGTCACTCACACCCATACACACTCACATACACACAGTCACACACACTGAACAGGTGCCCGGGGCCATGCTGTTGCAGTGTGCCCAGGGTCCCCTGAGAGCGCAGTGGTGGCTGGCCTCTGTCTGAGAGACGCAGAGCAACAGGTGCACCAGAAGGCCCTAGAAGGCCTTGTGTGTGCTTGCCTTGAGGGTGAACGAGTGGGTGATGCAGCGATTGAGATGCCCTCTGTGCCAGGCCTTGTTCTGAGCTTTGCCTGTGTTCAGGAAGCCTCACGCCACTGGGCAGTGCATCCCAGGGGTGATCTGGGTGAGGGTAAGTCACCTGTCCAGGGTGGCCCTGGGCTGCACAGGTGTGGATGCGTGAACAGACGGACGGCAGACAAACAGGCCAGGAGAGAGCAGGCCCGAGTGAAGCTGTTCCCTGGGAGAGGGCACGTGCAGGAAGATGGGTGCGTGCAATCAGGGACAGGGGCTCAGCATGTGCCAGAAGTTGGTGATGATGGAGGGAGCCCCAGGCCCCGAGCGGAGGGGAGCCCCCAGCACTGGGGGATCCACAGGGTCTCACTGCAGGTCCCATGGAAAGGAAGCCTGGCTCTGGGGACTGAGAAGGAAGCTGACGATAACAAGGACGGTCGCGTGCAGGGCCCAAGAGCTTGTCTGGGCCTCTCAGGCAGATGCATAAGGCCCGCATCGCCTCCCTCATTCTTCAGCCCAGAAGGGGTCAGTGACCTTCAGAGAGGGGGCAGGGCCAGCACTTGCCCCAGTTCTGTCTGCAAAGGCCCTTCCGCCTCCTGCTTTCAGGCCACCACCCGGGCCCTGAGGGCACCAGGCCAGTGAGGCAGCCTGATGGCAGGTGGGCGACCAGGCTAGTGAGCTGGGGTCCAGGGAGGAGCAGGGGGCCTGAGAAGCAGCAGGAGGGCGGTTATTGACGGTCAGGCAGCTGCTCTGCTGGAAGCTTGGCAAGCGCCATCTCAGTGAGCCCTGGGCAGCCTCTGAGCCTCCGCAGTTCACACGGGTAGAGGTAGAGGCCGAGGGTTAGGGGTCTTCCCAGTCACCCAGCGAGGCCAGGCGGGCGGACCCTGGGGCTGTGCTGGCCTTGCTCCTCTTGGCTCGGTCACAGCAGCCTGGGTCCTAACGTCCAGGAACACCCAAGCAGGGAGGACTGGCTCCACGCCTGGCCCACCTCAAGTCCTTCCTGGAGGCGACTGCCCAGCACCCAAGGGAGGGCTGGCTGTCCAACTGCAGGCGAGGGGCGGAGTCCCCGGGCAGGCGTGAAACCCGTTCAAAGTCAAAAAGCAGCAGCTCTGGGGGTCTTCCCTACGTGACTCTGGGGCTGCAGATGTCATAGCCGCTGACCACATTACTAGGGGGACTGGCATCCTGGGCCAGTCACCCAGGATGGGTCTTAGGACAGAGAATGACTTCTAGGGAAATGGGTCTGAGGCCTGCAAGTCAGGGCTCGAGGGCTCCAGTGTGGGGGACAGGCAACCAGGACAGGGAGCGGGGCAGATGTCAATCATGGATGGCATTTTAAATAAAATAATTAAAACTATCATAATGATTATAAAATGGTTTATAATACTTATATAATTAATGTATTTCTAGAAAAAGATAAAAATGACATGAGAATGTGTATGTGATGAATTAATCAGTGGAGAAAATTAGATTGGAAAACTGAGCTCACTCTCATGAAAACCATGCACAGGGGTGAATCAGGAAGGCTAATGGGACAGCAAGGAGCTGAAGTGTCCCCTTCATCCTGGGAAGAGGGTGTCTGACATGGCTCCTGAGAGAACAGGGGTAGGGGAGCGCCCATCACAGCGCAGCCTGGTGACCTGTTTTCTTCCTGCTTCAGAAAGGGAGGTTGAACTGTGACCCCACGTTTGAACTTGAAGAGATGATTCTAGAATCCAAGCCCCTTCACAAAAAGAAGAAGAGGTTGGCAAAGCACAGGTCCAAAGACGGCACCAAGGACAGCTGCCCCCTGGTGAGTGCTTCAGGAGTGTCCCCAGGGCTGGGGGAGAGTGCCGAGCGAGGCGCAGCAAAGGGGCAGGGGCGGGCCTCCTGCCCTTCCAAGCTTAAGCAGCTGGGTATCCTGTGTCCCTGCCCTGCAGCCGCGGGGACCCCTCCTCCATCCTCACCTCCCCTTCTTTCTGTGTCCCTGTGTCTCCACATGGCTCTCACAGAAGGACACCAGTCACTGGTTTTAGGACCCACCCTAACCCACTCTCAGTCACCAACTGGATCACACCAGCAAGATCCCGTTTCAGAGAGGCCGCGTGCACACGTACCAGGGCTCAGGACTGGAGCCTATTTGGTGGGATGCATTTTGACCCTCAACAGCCCCTTCCCCTATAAAGAATCTGGTTTGGTTTTAAAGCATTGATATCAAGATGAATATGATCTGTGATGCCAAGGTTCCTTGTTTCCCTCTGATTTTAAAAGAAAATAAACACCTTCGTCCCCTCTGAAGTCTCGGGGCCCTCGGCCCTGAGCAGCTGTGTGTGTTGCAGAGACAGAGCCCCCTGCCCTGCGAGCGCGAGGAGCACAAGAGGGGAGCGAGCTTCCCACGCCACCTGCATCAGTGTGTGGCTTTGGGGGCCTCGGGGACAGTGTCAGCGAGCATTTGTCATGTGGGGGGTCCTGGCATCTGCTCCTGGGGGAGCCCTAGGATTCTCCTGGCCCCAGCCCCTGGCACCGCTGTCTTGTACTTCTTCTCCCCATGCTCCTCTCACGTAGGCCCAGGGAACACCCACAGGCTTGGGATCCATCGTCCTGTAACGTGGCGTTTGGGGGGATGTGAAGCTGAAAACTGAGAAAAACCCTTGTCTGCCATCCCCCCTCAGAAGCAGCCGCCCACGCAGTCCGCACCTCCCCAGGCGCTGGGCTGGGCCCCGCATGGCCAGACCTGAAGCTCCTGTTCCTTCCTTTGTGTCCCTTGCCGCCTGTCCCTGGACAGTGCTCCATGCTCAGTCACCTCTCTGTGCTCTCTGACAGAATGGACACCTGCAGCAGTGCTTGGAGACAGTGCGGAAGGAATTCATCATATTCAACAGAGAGAAGTAAGTCCACACTGAGCCCGGCAGAGCCTTTCAGCTCGGCCACACCCTCCTGGGAGAACCATGGTCAGTGAAGGCTGCCCTGAGGCCCCGGGCATGTCCCCCAGGAGCTGGTCAGCCAAGGAGGTGGAGGACACAGACTTGGGCCCAGCTGGTGTTAAGATCTGGGGGCTCAAGTGCCAGAGGCCGGTTTGTCAGAGCAGAGGCATGGGAGGGACACCCCAGGGGACCCAACTGACCCAGGCCCAGGGCTGACAGAGAGAGCTCAGTGGCGCCCCCTCCCCTCCAGGAGGGTCCATCCATTTTCAACAGATGACAGCAGCACAGGGGTCATTGACAGGAAAGGCAGCCCTGGGCTGTGGCTTCCACACAGGTGCCGGCCCAGCCTGGGGATCAGGGAAGCTTCTGGGGGGACTGTGCCCACCTGAGTCTGAGCAAGGCAGAGGGGAAAGACATCCAGGTGAGACACGGGGACAAGCCACAGAGAAGGGAGGCTGCAGGGCAGGTGGGGACCTGCCGATGGGCAGGCGCTTGAGTTCCCAAAGGGGGCAGGGAGGTGAAGGACAGGGCAGGGCAGGGTCTGCTCCCAGTGAGGGCTGCAGAAGGGGAGTGACAGCATGCGTAGTGACGGGCCACTGCAGATCCTGGGCAGTCCAGGCTGCTGCAGGCTCCCAGCCCTTCCCCAGCCCTAGACAACCGGGCCCAGGAGCTTCCGCTCAGAAACCGTCTGTGACCGCGGGCTCAGGCAGCCTCCTGGGTCAGGCACCTGCTCTGAATGGCCCAGCTGCACCTAGAGTGCCCGGCTGGCAATGGGAGCCCGCGAAGGCTGAGCAGAGCAGAGCCCGAGCCGGCAGCAACAGCATTTGGCGTTTTGCTGTGTCCCAGAAGATGCTTCAATTTGGATTCCACAGTGTGTCCCTCTGAAAGCAAATGGGAATGGGCTCCTCCCCTGGGGTCATTTAGGGGTTGAGTCTGGCTGCTTTTAGCTTCACCCAATTCAATGCTCCCCCCACCCCCGCCACGTGGAGAGGGAAATCGATTAGGAAAACGTGGACTTGCCCCGTGTGCCGAGCGGCCCTTGGAGACTTGCGGTCATGGCTCTGCAGTGAGGCTGGCACCGACTGCAGGCGCTGGCAAAGTCAAGGAAGAGAGTAGGAGTCATTTTCCAAACAGAGGGGCGTCGGGAACGGCGTTGGCACACACAGGCAGCATGGATGAGGTGGCCAGAGGGCACCAGTGAGTCCGGACTGCCGTCCTGCTCCTGTGTCCGCCTCGCTGCGTACCTGGCTGCTCCCGGGGCGGCTGCCAGGGCAGGGGTGCCTCTGCTCACCTGCGGTATGAAGATACTCAGGTGGGAGGGCCTGGCCTTGTCCCCTCAAGACACAGCCCAAGCATCTCGACCCCCCTCCCTGGCAGATCCCATCCTGCCTCGTCACATGGGAGACACATCCCCTCCCCACAGCACGCCCTGCCCCAGTTTCTCCACTGTAAAAAAGTCGATCATGATGCACAAGCTGCCTGAAACCAAGGAAAACGTGGGACCGTGTGTCCTCCTCTTCTCTCTCAATCCCTTGTTTGAGCACCTGCTGTGTTGGCACTTAAGTATCCGAAAAATTAAACCAAGGCCCTTCTTCCCAACATCCTCCCTGTGCCGTGTGGGAGGAGATATCCGGGCATGCTGAGCCCGGAGCCTGGCTTGTGGACCAAGCCTGGGCCCTATGGGTCAATCTTCTTTCTTTCTCTGCAGACCTGGCCGTTGGCCTCTACAGACTGCCCCTGCCCACGTGCAGCAGGTGCAGGCCTCTTCTGTGGAGGGCACCATGGGCCCAGGAGCCCCTGTCAGAATCATCTGGGGTGACCTTATAGTTGTGCAGCTGGTATAGGTTGTATTGTGTACCCCAAAAGAGATGTGCTGAAGTCCTAAGCCCCAGCACCAGTGAATGTGACCTTATTTGGAAATAGGGTCATGGCAGATGTAATGAGTTAGGATGAAGCTGTTGTGGAGTAGGAAGGGCCCTGACTCCAACATGGCTGGTGTCCTAATAGGAGAAGAGACCCAGACCCGTGAGAAGGCCATGTGGGGAGGAAGGCGGGGACTGAGTGGTGGGTCTGCAGCCCAGAGGCCAGCAGCCACCAGCAGCCAGAGAAGCAGGACCAGCCTCTCCCTCACAGCCCTCCCTGCAGGAGCCAGCCCACTGCACCCTGGTGTGTGTCTCTGGCCTCCAGAGCTGTGGAAGAGCTTTCGATTGCTTTAAGCCCCTAGTTGGTGGTGTCCTGCCCCTAACACATCACCCTGGTCCACACCTTCTGAACCAGAAGTGGACAGAGGAGGCCTGGACCTTCTTTTGAACATGCTCTGTTCATTCTGACACCTGAGAGCCTTGTCTGCAGGACAGCACTGTGCCCAACTGAGCAGCTTCTGTTTGGTGCTAAGTTGAGTCATAGGATCTCCTAACACTGCAGACCCTCCCAGCCCTTGTCCCCTACCCCAGAGTATCCATGTGCAACGCCTGGCCTTCCCTCCCTCCCTGGCTGAAGGACACTAGTGGGCTTACTTTGTGTGACTTGCTGTCTCCTGCATGGTGCAGGTCTGCCTGCTTCCTCAGCTGGAAAAGGCCCTTGGCAAAGAGAAGGTCCCTGCAGCTCCCGCCACAGTGAAGAAGCCGCCATCTGCATAAACCCTGAGGGCCAGGGCACTGGGGAGACCATCACCACACCAGCCCCTGCAGGAGACGCATTCAGTCACTTGACAGACACACCATAATCCTGGACTGGTCCCTGAAGACGCAGAAGTGACCCAGGTCCTCAGGATGCTCACAGCCTATGGGCAGAGCAATAGTAAGCCTTGCAGGCTGCCAGGGCACAGTCACCAGCGCCTGCTGCAGGGACACAGGAAATGTCCTGGGCCTACCTTCTTTGGACCTTAGTTTCTACACAGAGAGCAAAATTAAAATCAGTTCTGCCCGGTGTCCTGCAAAAGCAGCTTATTATTGGCTACTGGTCTCAACCAGCAAAAGGCCATAAGCCAGGTGGAGCACCTGCTTCCAGGGACCGGCTAAGCTCCTTTATTTTGAGAAATACACAGTGGGGCTTGTCCCCTTCTTTTTAGCCAAGGATCTGAGCAGGGATGACTTTTCCAAGAGGTTTGTTCAGCAGCATTTGATAGAGTTTCTCAGAATAAGAAGGCCCTGATGAAAAGGGGGTGTAGGTAGCCAAAGTTTCTGTCCTTCTTACTCGTAAGGAAATGGCAAATTTAAAATCACCTTAAAGTTGCCTCTGGAACCCGCAAGGATATTATTACACCTTAAAACTCTGCATTTAACACACTTAATTCTATTGATACTAACAGCAATCGACATCCTTATGTGATTTTATGGTTTTAGGTCGTGTCCTTTAATCCTGGGCTTCTCAATCTTGCTACTCCTGAAATCTGCCATCTCCTGTGGTCAGTTCTTGGCTGTGGATTGTACCCATCGTGGTAGGATGATTGAGGAGTGGGACTCCTCTTGGGCTTGGGAACCTGATGGACTGGGGCAGACCCTGGTCTTGCTTCTCAGGGTGCTGTGACCTGGTGAGGTCCCAAGCCTCTCTGAGCCTCAGGTTCCCCTTCTGTGCCAGCAAGATGGGCTGCTATCAATGGCTCCTAGACTCCACCAAGCCCTGTGCCATTTGCAAAGTGCGTTGACATTTCTTTGATCTCATCACCAGCCTCAACAGTGAGAAAGGGAGACCCAATTCCTTGTGTTTTGCAGATTGGCTTGTGAAGTGGGGAAAGCCCTTGGCACAAGCCTCTCAAACCCCGTCCATTGCCGGGACACAGCGAACATAAAAAGCCCAGGTTTCTGAATTCAAGGCTGGCACACAGAGGCTCCTCCCAGTCTGGGGCTAAACAGGGCAGCCCAGACCTTGCTGTCTGGGTGAGGATGCAGAGGTAGCGCCACCTCAGTGAGCTGGGCCTCGGGAGGCATCTGCAGCCCCTTCCTCCTTCCATCCTCCCCCAGGTCTATCCGTGGGTATTTAATTCCTGTTTCTCAGGGAGTGAAACTGATAAAAACACGATTCTGACTTGAATGGTGGCTGGGAACCTCAGATGAGCCCGGAGGATGTTCTCCCCACCAGGTGCAGGTGGGGAGGGAGGCTGGGCCCCAGACCTGCACCCACAGGAGGGGAAGTGGCCTGGGACAATCAGCTCAGAGACCTGCAACTGGCAGAAGGGCCTTCAGGTGGGAGTGAAGGCGGCCACAAGGCTGCTCAGTCCACAGGCTCTTCATGGTGCAGCGAAAACTTGAAATCAAGAAATTGCATGGGAAATGAGGGCCGTGTCAGGTTCGCTCAGGTTTCAATCAGAGGAAATCGCAGCCCAGTTTCAAGAGGTTGGCTGATCCTGACGTGTTCGTTGCAGCCAATAAAAGATGAAAAAGAAAATGAACAGGACACGGACAAAGCTCACCGTGATTCTTGAGTGTTGAAAGCTGCCGAATGCCGTGCCCTGGGCTTGAGATCAATTTCACTTGCTCCACAGTTAATCCTCCTTGCCGCCTGGATTTGCAAGTGTGTGCTGACATGGGGAGGGACCGGCCGGAGGTCGCTTTGGGTTCCACTCACCACACAACACCATCTCATCCTCAGTTCTGTTTCCTGCACACACTGTCCCTCCTGGAGCTCAGCGGCGGTGCTGCTCCGCCGGCTCCGCCACCTCCTCTGCAGCATGGCAGGCATCAGGAGCAGGGCAGGGTCCCCGGAGAGGCTGGCACAGCTGGTTAAATGCTCACCCCCCCAGGAGCAGTACACACTGCAATTCACGCCCAGGCACAACCAGTCACATGGCCCCACCCAACCCCAGGGAAGCTGGGAAGTGTCACCCTGCCACGTGCCAAGAGGGGCAGCCCAGTGGAACTATTGGCCACCGACCCGTCAGCCCCCAGTGCAGGCCCTTCCTGTGTCCTCCCCGTGTCGAGAGGACCCAGCAAGTACCACCCTTACCCCAGCAGACACACAGCAGC